AGGGAGGACCCAGTGTGGCCGGTATGAAAACAAGCCAAAACTTCTCATTCGTCGGTAAACACTTCGCATGCCAATAGGTCTTCCGTGTTCTGCAAACCATTCATTTGCAATGGACCTGATAGTGGAGAAACGGTCCCTTAGGGCCAATAATCTTAGGCGGCGATCTTCACGGTCTGTTGTTCTACGGCGGCGTCCAGTGCCCCTTGCTCTTTGCGTACGGCCTTCTCGAAGCCATGCCTGACAACACCTAACCACAGTGTCTACACTTCTTTGCACTCTAACTGCAATTGCCCGAAAAGAAAGTCCAGCTTCCCGAAGTCCCACTATACGGCCCCTATCAAACTCACTAAGTTGACGAAATCGTACAGGTCTCCGTACTCTAGGCATCGTAACCGATCGTAAAGGATGTCAAGAACCAAAATCCGCCAACGTTGATTCTTTACTGCGGCTGAAATATTCATTTTTAGAGCGTTAGTGAATTAAAAAAAAGCAGTATAAAAACCGGAATGTCCAACTGATAAGGCTGAAAATTTGTTCACTTGTTATTTACAGTAAGATAAATACATTCACCAACTTTTATTAAAATAAAACCATTTAAACTGGGTGTTCGGATTTATATGTCACTTAGTATATTATAACTACCATCTGGAGGATTTCCTTCAAAATTTGCAAGTACAAGGGTATCCTTTGTTGTATGAATACGGCTCATTATTGCCTATACACAAGGGACGCTTAATAAAATTGTCCTTTAGTATTTGAAATTAATGTACGTTTTCCATAATTTTTATCTCTGCTTCATCAATTTTCTGGCGCAGTTGGTTAACATTTGGATATTCAAATGTATAAATTATTCCCTTATAAAACCCCCATATAAAAAAAATCTAGAGAAATTAAATCGGGTGACCTTGGAGGCAATCGCATGTGTCCACCTCTACCTATCCAACGCCCAGGAAAGACACTGTTTAAATACATCCCTTGCAAAGTGGCATGGGGTACTACCGCATTGAAAATGCATGCGGCTTCTAACGTCCAAAGGTACATCTTCTAGCAGCCCAACCTGGCCGGCAATTCATACGATCCAATTAATTTTTTGTTGAGCATTCCAGCCCATAAATCAACGCCGAACTGACGTTGAAAAGTGCGTCGGCGAATAGCGTGTGGATTTTCCACGCACGCTCCATGAGTGGAAATTGTGCATGCTGAATATTCCATTTTGGTTAAAGTTGTCAATAAGATGCTGTCAAAAAAAGTTTCATCCTCCTCGCACCTTCTCAACATACTCTCACAAAATTCAACCCGTTATGCATAGTCGCTTGGATGCAGTTCTTGTACTTCTTGCACATAGTAAGGATGCATATTCTCTGAGCGTAGTATTGTGTGCGCCGAAGTATCGGATATGTTTCTGCTTCGGGCAATGGCTCTGGTGCTTACAGAGGAATGTCTTTCGGCTGTTTCTAACATATCTTCTATTTCGTTAAGGACGCGTAGAAAAACGCGGTAGTCGGGTTATTCCGTCGGTTGTGGTCCACCTCTTCGAACCACATACTCCCGATACATGCGAGCAGCTGCTCGAGCATTTCCTAGGGCAGCACCATAATAGTGATGCATTTCTGCATAATCTCGTGGAAAATATGACATGATTCTACTCAGATGCCAAATGTTCGACACAAATTCTGCGCTGGACCATTGCCTGACTTAGCAATTTTTGTCGGAACGAAGATTGAACGCTCCCGCACCTGGAATGCCGAGTTAAATGCCCAAGCTCATTAAGTTGATTTGGCTATTTGCGTAAAAAATCCGCCATTTTGATTTTACAAAATAATAATACACACAGACTCGCACTGCTAGGATGAATCTAACAGTACCTCATAGATATATCAAAATCAATCAAGTCGTTTGGACTGTAGCTTGTAAAATAAAAGTTCTGGATTACATGTTTAGATACCCACCTGCGACAAACATGCAGATTTTTTAAGATGAGGCACTTATCATAGCAAGCTGAAATTTCTAGGGTTCATTCTACATGGATTGAAATAGCTTTCACAATAAATGAATAATGAAATGCAACCTCAATTTTTTACCTGTCCTTTAATGAATTTAAAATTTTTTGTCTTAACTTCTAATTATCTCTGTTGAAAAGTGACATAATCATTGCTAAAACTGACCATTTAGCTCATTTCAAAAAAAAATCACAGCCCTAAACCTAATGGTTTAGTTAGTAACTCCGATTGAAAGTTCATTATTCCGATTTTTATAAACTTCAGAGAATTGTAAATATCTCCTGAACTATAAAATTTCGGACCATACATATAGGGGTTCATTCGATATGTTTTGGGGCCCTGTATCACCCCATTAAGGAAGAAGGTTAGGGTGCAAAAGTTCATTCCGTGCTTGCTATAAGTGAACGACTGCTAGTTCCAAGTTGACGACTTGTTGGAAGATCTACATACAGTGGACCTCGAATTTGTCGGATTATAGAGCACTGCCTAAGACCCCCTATAGTCCGGAATTTTTTACAAAAGAGTACCTTGTAATCCGACTAATTACATATCCAATGGTAAGATTACATCTATATGTTATGTTTATGTATGTACTTTGCAGTACAAATCATATATAATTTATGTATGTCCAATTTAGTAAATTAAATAACAATAGAGAGCTTACGTTTTATTATAAAATTAAGCATAAATGCACATACATAGGTACCAAAATAATCAAGAGTTATTAATCAAAATCATTAATGAATTTATCAAATTATGAAGCTTGGAAATATTCATCATTTTTTTTTGTTTAAGGTTGTTATAACGCGAGATCAGAGCTTTGTCCTCAGTCTTCTCAAAAGTAAAAGTTCGTTGTAGGATGTACCATTCCCTTCAGCCCATTGTAAACCTAGCTCAAAGGCGTTAATGGCGTCTTGTGCTGTGACTTGTGGAGCAGTTGCAATCACGTCGTCATTATTTTCCTGATTGTTTGTTGTATAATTAGAAACCTCTTTTATAATCTCTTCGTCAGACATTTCATGAAAAACATTTTCCTCTTTATCCACATTCCACGGCACTAGATTTCCGAATCTTCCGAACTTATCTGGGTTTCAGTAGCGACTTGTTCTATAACTTCCGAAGTAACACTGATTTGTGGAACGTTGCTAGGAGTGGTGACTATATCTGGCCATTACTCTTTCCAAGACGATTTAATAGTTGATGACGGTAACGCATTCCACTACTGACACAGAGCAAAAACCAAGTATTTCATATTAAATTCTTTTAAAGTTTTTTCTATTGGTTGGTCTTTTGATATGGCTCTCAGAAGTAGGTTTTTCTTATAGTCTTGCTTGACAAACTGAATGATATTCTGGTCCATTGGTTGAATCAGTGCACTGCAATTTGGCGGAAGAAACATCGCAGTGATGCATTTATCCTCCGTTGTTAGTTCTTCTTAAGACGGATGACCGGGAGCGTTATCAAGAAGCAACAACGCTTTTTGAGGAAAATTATGATCTTTTAACCATTTTCTAACTTCAGGTACGAAGCATTCATCAAACCACTTTTTGTTAAGGACTTTTGTCATCCATGCACTTTTTTGTCCGTAATAGTGTACAGGTAAATCAATGTTTTTGAATGCCCGTGGTTTATTAGATTTCCCATTGACCATCATCTTAAGCGCCTGTGTGCCCGCAGAGTTACACGCTCTTTACTTACTTTTCGTCCAGGTACGGATTTTTCGTTACAAGAAACGAAAGTTTGTTAGGCATCACACGCCAAAAGAGCCCTGATTCGTCTGCATTGTACACCTGTGACGGGTCAAGATTCAAATCGTTCACCTTTTGCAAAAATCTTAATTCAAAGGGCTCTATTCAGGTGGCATCGTTAGACAGTTTCTCTACTGTAACAGTCATTAAACGTATGCCATGACGACTTTTAAAACGTTCTAGCCATCCTTTGCTGGCCACAAAATCATCTTTTTTGTTATTTCCTTATAAAAAAACTTAGCTTTCGTCGCCAACAAGGGTCCTGAAATTGGTACATGCCTATTTCTTTCCTGAAGAAACTACATGTACAAAGCTTCTTCCACTTCTGGATGTTCAGCTTTCTTGATTGTCTGTCTCTTGCCTGGCCCGCAGTCAGTAGTCGTAGTTTCTTTTAATTTCATAAATTGTAGATCGGCCTACGCCGTATTCACTTGCTAAACTACTGAAAGTTTCATTGCGATTTAAGCGGTCTAAAATATCATATTTTTCTTTAATTGTCAATGTATTGTGCTTTCCCTTCTGAGTTTGTGATGACATTACTAGGTACTATACTTAATACACAATGAATAAATAGTAAACAATGAACGCACGCTAGGCCGTACCGCTATCACAAGTAGTCAAATTCAAACTAAGCAAAACAATGCTTACGCGTCGAGCACGATAGCGGTGGCGCGTACAAGTTGTAACCTGTTCAAACCTGCGTGATCTACATTACCGAAGATTGTCAAATACGTATGTATGTAATATTCAAAGACATGTCGGATTACAGAGGGCGCCGGATTAGACGGGGGCCAGATTATCGGGGGGTCCACTGTAATGTCATAGCAAACCTACATAATGTGTGGCTTCTTTGTCCTCAGTAACTTGAATTTGTCTATGGTCCATGTCTAACGAGATTCAGTTTAGGTATTCTAAGGCGAATATCTGATCCTATCAGGTAACCAAATAAGTTAGTGCGGTTGCTGGATATCGCACATTGTCATGGATGTTGTTGATCGATAGCGATTGTTTGTTACCTGTTGTCACTTTAGTATGAATCCTTCTTTACCCACACACACATAGACAGTTGCTGAAAATTGTTACATATCCAGTTTTAATAATTGTTTACTATATGAGTACAAACTTGGTACAAAAGCTGCAGCGGCGGTGCGAAAAATATGTACCGCATTCGGAGATGATGCCGTTAGTGATCGAACAGCACAGAAATGGTTCAAAAAACTTTGTTCGGGAGATCTCAGTTTGAGCGATGAACCGCGCTCAGGGAGACCAAAAATCATGAACAACGAAGATCTTCGACAGGTTGTGGACGCGAATTCCAGGACAACGTGCCATAAACTTGTAGAAATGTTCAGAGTGAGTCCTGAAACTATTCGTTTGCATCTTCATCAGCTAGGAGAGGCGTGGAAGTTAAGCAATGGGCCCCACATGAACTGACAAATGATAACAAATTAAGTCGTCTTACCATTTGTTCAGCAAATATTTCACGCAACGCTGATGAACCATTTCTTAATCGGTTATTAACCTGCGACGAAAAATGGATCTTGTATTCGAATTCTAAGCGTTCGTATCATTGATTGTCGCCTACTGATTCGGTACCACGCACGCCCAAGGCTTCCTTGCACCCAAACAAGGTTTTGTTGTGTGTTTAGTGGACAGCAACTTGAATTGTTCATTATGAGTTTTTGGAAAGGGGTCAAACCATCACTGCTAACTTGTATTGTGAGCAGCTTCAACGAGTACAAGCAGCACTCATCCAGAAACAGCCTTCTTTGATCAATCGGAAGAAAGTGATATTCTTGCCTCATACCTCAAAAGTGACCCTAGAAAAAATTCGGCTGGGAAACGTTACCTCACCCGCCATATTCTCTATATATTTCGCCCAGTGATTATCACTTTTTTTTGTCTCTTGACAACTGTATGAGGCACCGAAAGTTCACAACTCGAGATGGTGTAATAAATGCAGTCCGCCAATTTTTTTACTCCAAATCCAAAAATTGGTTCTACGTTGGCAAAGGTCATTGAATGCGATGGTAATTACTTCGGAGAATAAAGAATGTCTCAATGTTTCTCAATAAAAATTTATATTTTTCTACTAAAAACTGCACGATCTTATTTGGTTACCTGATATTAAAAATATTCACCTTCTTAGCATGAGATATGATCATCAGTCAACAAATCTGCGTTTTACTTGCCTCGGCATCGAGCAACACAATTTAGAAACAGCTTTCCATTTTGGTACCCGATTTGCACAATAAAGTACCTCAAGCTTCGAAGACTCTACATGTGTCCAGCTTTAAAATAAAATTAATTTTATTTAATTTTATTTACCTTGTAGTTAATTTGTGCTTGTCTTCTCACTTGCCTCTTTTCATTTGTTTACGTTTCGTATACGAGTCTGGATGCTTTTGATTTAAATATCTTCTGCCATTTATTATTTATGATTCCATGTCTAGACTACGATGCTGAACAACATTTTTCTACTTTACTTTTAAGTTATATTTTTTTGTATTTGTATGCGTTTGTATCTTTTAGCCCTGGTTGAAAACAGGTTGGGCTGATGTAACCCTCCAGGTAAAATAAAAGCATTATTATTATTATTATTATTATTATTATTATTATTATTATTATTATTATTACTATTAATATACAGGGGAATGGGAGGCATCACAAAGACTCCAGCAAGGGCACACCTTAGAGATCCGCTGGGTGGTACCTCCACAACATCTATAGTCAATAGACAAATTCGCTTATGAGGGGATTTGAACTCACAGCGACTGATTAGTAGACACGTAACGTCTACCACTTAAGAACCAACAAGTTTTTTTCACGTTTAACTTAAGATTTTGTTCACAGTTATAGTGATGCGTAATTCATAGTTCCATTTAGATGGCTCTGCATGATGAATTATTGGGAAGTACATGTTTGTCGCATCGAACTGGCAAGAAGTTAATGTTGAAAAAGCTTCAAAATAACCAGATGTACTGAGATATGGCAATCGACACACTACACATGTATCTGATATATTTTTTCTTAATACCGAATTTCAGTGAGTTTGAAGGTAGTTTAGAAAAAAAGTTCCGCCAGGCTCCGCTCTATTTAATGGTATCATGTTTATCACGCACAGAATATGTCAAATTTGTCTTGAAACTCAATTTGAGCGCATTTTTTACATGTACAGGGTGTTTCAGTTTATTATTGCATAACTTTAAGATTCGATAGAACTTTTAAAATTAATGCATAAAGTCTATATAAACATGGGTCGAAAAATGCGTGGCTTCCGAAATACAGGGTGTTTAAATTTACTTTCTAAAATAGTTTTTTTTTTTAAATATTTCGAACAATATTTGATGTATAACAGTGAAAATTGGTATACAAGGGTTTTTTGGTACGACAAAACGAACCATGGACATAGTTTTACTGTAGCCACTAGAGGGCGCTCTCTACTGTACCTCTACTGTATTAAAATGACCGACAATTTTTTCTTAGTGCAATTTTTTGCTTTTTGAATAAAAAAATTGATTCTTTGCACTTTTCAACATAAAAAAGCTCTCCTGTGAGTTTTCGTTATAGTTAGCCGTTTTTGAGATATTTCGATTTTTAAGGTTCGATGCATTTTTAATTATTTATGGGAAAATAATATTGTTTTTACATTTTCGATTTAGGAATTATAAGTAATTAAGATGATCGTTTAGATTGTGTTTTAAACACAGCAATAATTCGTTACTCCAAATAACACAAAAAAACAGAATATTAATTTGTTTTATTTTCCAATATTATTTTTAACAAATTAAATTAATTATTTACAACTAAAATGCTACTGGATAGTTAGGACAACATACAAATCTAAAGTAGTTACTCGAAATGTAAACCCAATTGTTCAATACACAATTCACATCTACGAATGATCGAACGTGGTATAGCATTATTCAAATAAGGCCTTATTTCATCACATGCATTCATGATTCTGTCTATTAGCATATCCCTTGTGATTACGGGAGTCTGGTACACTTTTTCTTTTAAAAATCCTCACACAAAGAAATCTAATGGATTTAGGTCAGGCGATCGTGGAGGCCAGGCGACTGGTCCTCCACGGCCGATCCATCTTTCTGGATAATTTTTCGTCCAGCGAGTTTCTAACTATTCTCGAATAATGAGCTGGACAACCATCAAGCTGGAACCAGGCCAATCTCTTAAATCTAACATAACATCATCCCACATATTTGCATGTTCAGCCTTTAAAAATTCCAAGAAGGTCGCAGCATTTAACCTTGCAGGCAAAAGGTAGGGTCGATTACGGTAGATACCAATCCACACGTTCACACTAAATTCATGCTGAAAATTTCTTTCCCGAACTGCATGCGGATTTTCATGCGACCAATATGCTGATTATGAAATTTACCACTCCACGTCTAGTGAAGCATGACTCATCGGTCCATAAAACGTTACTTAAAAAACTCCTTATTATTATCAGTTCTATCAAGAATCCACTGACAAAATGTGTCTCTTCATCCTCCGTCCCCTGGCTGTAGTCCTTGCACAGGTTGCAAAGGGTAAGGACGTCTATGGTCATTTCTAAGAACACGGTGAACATGGCTTGCTGAAATTGACAAGGCACCAAAAACTCTCCTAACACTGGTCGGATCTCTGTCAACTCACGCAGAATCATACGGGTAAATCTGCGCTGACGAACATTTATGTTTGATCCCTCTGGAGATTTCCAAACCATTTTCAATTATTTGGCGATGCACTCTTACAAATACTGAGCGAGTTGGATGTCGTCTGTTTGGAAATCTTCGTGCGTATTCGCTGGCTGCTTCTGCTGCGTTTCCATTTACAAAGCCATACACAAAATGAGTATCCGCTGACTCTTGATTTGAGAATAAAAATTGCATTTTTATAAAACTTGCAAAAAAAAGGTAAAAGAAACTAAATTTCGTGCATTCACAATTGCAAAAAAACGTTTCAGGTTTCAACAGACAACAAAACTAACTGTCAACTAATTGACGTTTAACCTTATTCTGCTTTCAATTTCAAAAATATTTGCAGGCACAGCCTACTTCTAAAAATTATCGAGATACTGACTTTTTAACGTTATTTTCATAAATAATTAAAAATGCATCGAAACTTAAAAAGCGAAATCTCAAAAGCGACTAACTATAACGAAAATTCACAAGAGAGCTTTTTTATGTTGAAAAGTGCGAAGAATCAGTTTTTTTTATTCAAAAAGCAGAAAATTGCACTAAGAAATTTTTTCGGTCATTTTAATACACTGCAGGAACAGTAGAGAGCGCCCTCTAGCGGCTACAGTAAAACTATGCCCATGGTTCGTTTTGCCGTACCAAAAAACCCATTTATACCAATTTTCACTGTTATACATCAAATATATGTTCGAAATATTTAAAAAACAACATTTTAGAAAGTAAATTTAAACACCATGTATTTCGTAAGCCACGCATCTTTCGACCCATGTTTATATAGACTTTATGCATTAATTTTAAAAGTTCTATCGAATCTTAAAGTTATGCAACAATAAACTGAAACACCCTGTATGTCCGTCATTTTGGTTTCGAAATCTTTTTTGCAAACATGTCCGTCATATTGTGTCCGCCTTTTTGATTTTGGACAAATGATAACATATTCATTATCAGCGACCTCGAAAAACATGCAAATAAAGTTTGTTAGTGGAATATAGTGAATCTTCCTAGTTTTTCTGTTCTAGGTCTTTTGAACAACTGTGGGTCAGCTATATTCCTCTCGCAGTCACGCAGAAAATATATTGAGGCTGCGCTTGATTAACAATTAAAAAGCAAGGGTATACAATAGCAATATCTTATAAAAATGCTTTGGGATTCTCAATACGTTGTTTGAAGAATACTTATGAAGTTTGGCGTTATGAAAATTATTTTATTTTCATATTGCTTTTCCGTGTCCAAAAGACATATTTCGCACTATTTCGAATATTAAATCATCTGTATTTTGAAGCTATCAGCTCTAGTATAAAGTTCACGAATCCCATTTTTGTTCAGAACCACTCAAAGAACCTAAGAAAACCTTTGTTCAGAGCGAAAAGAATAATTTTTGCAATTGTTTAAAAAATATTCAAACAATTTTTGCCGCTATTTCCAACCTGACAACATGCATTTTAAGGGGTCTTTATCTATTATATTTATTAAAAAAACTCAAGAAAAATATTTTGACGAGCAAATGTTATGGAAGATACTTCCTAGCGAGAGCATTCACCTTATTTAGCAATAGTTATCATAACTATATAGTAACACATCCACCATTCTATCCATCTTGCAATTTGTTGTACTGAATCTAAACTATTAGAAAAACCTTGCCTAAATTTACGGCGCCACGCAAAATAGATTGTAGAAGAAGGAAGGTATCAAGTACAGGTTTTTAGCCCAATTTCAAGAACCCGTCGTCGGATAGGGTATCCAAAAACTACCAGTGAACATGACGCCAAAATGACATCACGGTCACTTTTGATCAGAAACGTCATTGACCAAGCAATGTCGAAAAACCTACATGATCTCATAAAAAAACAATACAACGTCAAAAAAAAATCTACATAATACTTTTTAAAATACGAAGAAGATCGGCTAAGTAGTAGAAGCTTAAGTAGTTTTGAAACTCTAAGAAGTGACAAACAACACAGAGGTCCATCTTCTTCTGCTTGGACATCCGCCACTGCGTACGTTGGATTGCTGGCGTCGCCTGCCGACGCGAGCAAGCGGGCCGTCGCGACGCTTTCCACCGCCGTCTCAGCGCCTTCTTCCTTCGCCATTCGACGCCGCGAACATCTGAACATCGCATCTCTCCGTCACCACGATTCGAACGACCATGTGGA